CAGCTGATTAATTATTTAACAGGGAAAACATTTTAGTTCAAAATTAACTGCAACAGAGTCTATTGAACTTAAGTCATCTTGCAGTTTCTGGGTAATCTCTACTGATCCACGGTGGTTTTTACACATTTGTGTCAGTGTACACCGTGCACGTTTTGTTCCACCTTGGCATAAAACCTGCTGCAATGCAGCCCGGTGGCAGAGTCATGTTTTACTTTGCTACAGCAACATAGTTTCTATGAAGAGAAATAAAAAGTTTGAAAATAAGGCTTTTACAACAGCTCACGAATTTGGGGGCAGAGCCAGACGTGGTATGAACACCAGGAGTTCAGTTATTTTTGATTGAGCTATCCTGATTTATATTAAGTAAGAATCTGATCATACTGCTCTAGTGCCATTACACTTTTTCGTACTGGGTAACACTGTACGAGCTTCTATTCAGCAGAAATGAAAATGGCAAAATAGATATATAAAGGTTAAATCTAAAGCAACATCTTGTGATATGATTTGGGAAAAAGTGGGAGGCATTTTTAAAAGAAATGTTACTGTTTCTTCTTGATTCAATTCTGATGATTCTGGAAAAAGTGGGTGAAGGAACAGAGACCCTCAATATTCATTGCTTCTTGTCATCAGTAGAAATAGTTTTTCTATACACATGTTATTCTTGAGGTTTTGGTGTATTGTTTCTGTCAGAGCCACGGTCTGATCAAAGCATCCCAAAGAAATAAGCACAGAAAGATACAGTTTGTCTTTGGTTCTTGCTGTAGCATTCTGTATGCAAAAGATAATAGAAGACAAGGTATCCTCTTGATGCAGTGACTAATCTGAGAAACCTGAAAATCTCCTATGCTGTGCAGGAACGTACATCAGAAACTCCAAGGTCTGGTGCAGATTTTTTGCTTTCCCCATCCATAGAGCACTGTGGAAGATTTCTAGTTTCCTGCACATCAGGCACTAAAATATCATTACCTTACGTGGTGGTGACTTTCACAGCACCACGGGATGAACTTAACTTGTAATCCACCATGTTATGTTTTGTACTGAGTGACAGAAAGTCCCCCAGATTGGGAGGGGGAGACTATGTTTCAAAGCCTGCTATTCTTTTGGTGCAGATGCTTTTAAAGGACATACCTAAGACATTATGTGCTGCAGCAAGCTGGCACGGTGAATATGCAGCAGATGAAACAAGGAACAAGCATCAGTCAAGCAGAATAAACAGCTTTCCTGAAGTTAAGGGCACAGAATAGTAAGCTGAGTGTTTGTGAGATAGAGAAGAGTGTTTAACAGTAGGAGTTGGAAAGCAATGGCTTACCAGCACAAAGCTATATAAGGAGGGGCAGACTACACATTAGGATTCCAGAGAAAGGCCATAACAGGTCAATTTGACAAGCTGAATATGGATAATGAGTTGAGACAGATGGTATAAAAGTATGGCAGCTAATAAATAATGAACAGACTTGCTTCAAGAAGCAAAAGGAGGGAAAAAATCACAGCTGAGAGCTTAGTCAGAAGGGAGGAGGTGAAGGGGAAAAGAACAAAATCATGGTTGATGGGGAGAGAATCACAGCAGGAGGACTAGTGGGAGAAGACAGCGTCTGCTTTCAAGTGCCAGAGTTTTATGGAGATGATAATTTACCAAAAGGCAACTTAGAAATGCGTATGTCTGAGTTGGAATTTGGCCAAGTCATTGAGGTTAAGAATCTTCTACATGAGAAAAAACTCATCATCTCTAAACCTCTCTTAGATACTTTTTCTCCCTTCTCTTCCTCTCCTGTTATTACAATATCTAGGCAGTGCTCACAGTTCCCCTGTTTAAGGCTCAACCTTAAACCTTTGCACCTAGCTGTCTTTCATATGATGACCAAGATAAAGCTGAGGACTGGCACCCCGAAAATCTTTTCCTAATGTGGAGTTGAGCTGGGGCTCAGGCACAAACTCTGACCCGGATACCAATGCCCCAGTATAGATGTAACCCAAGAATCTTCCCCGAGGTCACCCGTGTCAATGCCAAATATTTAACCCATGTTTCTCTTATGCCCTTGTATTTTTGAAGATCATAGAGAGCTAGAGTCTCCAAGGCTTTAATGCTTATTAATAAATCAACATCTCATCGAACCTGACAGTATAAACCAATAGGCAACTTAGTGTAGATTCAGAAACAACAGTGCCTCCGTGCCATCTAACAACTTTGGGGGATTCCATGTCTATTTTCCCTTGAACAGCTTATTAGGCCTAACCTTATTGGGCTTGGAGACCCTGGCAAGTTCCCAGGGATGAATGTTAGCAGTAACCTCTGAAACAAAGTGTCTTGCAGTTCAGCAAATTCTGCCTGTGTCAGACAGCAACTGTGCCTGATTAACAATGAACTGTGTAGTTTATTGGCAAAAATGTGCCGCTAGCTACAAAGGGGACTTTTATTTCATCATACTTGCAATCTATGTTATTAAATAACGAGCCACTTAATTAACTAATTCATTAATACATGGCTGTGATGAATAGATTTGCTCCAGTGACAGAGGCATGAAAGCAGACACAACCCTAAGTGATTTCCAAACTTTGCTTTCTTTCAGAAAGGAGTTTTATTTGGGCAAGTATCTTTACTAAATACCTCATTCTTTCTATTGCCTCTTGCTAACGGAGTGGTCTGCTGTGTCCATTTCCCCTAGCACTCTCTGCTCCTATCTTTCCCATCTTTCTGCCCTGACAAGCCCTTGCTGACACCTGAACCTGTCACCTCTCCTTTGGATGCACAAAATCAATGTGTCCCTTTGTGTCCCCCAAAGTCACTCTTTGTCCAGAGTTGCCACACTCTTGGGGCCTGGATACAACGTCTCCTTGACTCCTGTCTCAAATGGGAAAGAACTGTAGTGTTTTAGATACTGAACAGCACTGTCAGCTATTGTCCGTGATCAGCTTCCCATTGCTTTGGGAGCCACAAACCTCCCCAAGAACAGGATACAGGAGGACAAAATCATACTATGCCTCTCATAATGGTAATGGCTATTGCGGGTTTTTTTCCTCTTGTTTTCCACTAGAGTATGGGTGTATGTTAAGGTTGATTTTTGGCACAGAGATTTCCGCAGGCTGAGAGAGCTCCCTGTAAGGAACTGTTCCTGCTATTGGGAACAGACTTTTCCTAGCCCAAGATGCTCAGGCCTCAGTCTCTAGAGGCAGTTGCTTGCCAGCTCCAGTGAGGTGTACCAAGGCACCAGCCACTCCAGTATTCACATTTGTTCCAAGAAATCCCCTGTGTCTCAGCCTGTCACAGTCACAGCCAACCTTATGCTTCCATGATGCTCTTTAATGGGTTTGTTATTTATGTTTCCCTGCAGGGCTGCTCGACAAAGTCGAGCAAAGCACAGTTATTACAGTGCTAAGATTTCGATCAAATAATATGGCTGGTTCTCAGCCTACATTCAGTCTCTTTCTTTTTTACATAAGCCCTCCAATACAGTTGTTTTGTACCCACAAGAGCTTTCAAAATTGCAGATCTACTGTTCATTATGTACCTTGCCTATAGAGAAATACAAGTGCAAGCAGCAGCAGATTTAAAGAGATGTTCGCTCTGAGACTCCCCTCAAGGTTATTTAGCAGGGAAAGTATGAGAGCAAGTGCTTTTGCTACATCTATTTTCATAGCATTTTGATCGTTTTGATCATTTGTGGATATGAGACAGTGCTGAGAAGACCTGAACTTTGTAGCATCTAGGATCATTTAACAAATCCTATTATGTGGTTATCAAATTCACCATGTGCTTTACATATATCACTGCAGCACAAACAAAACATAGCTACAAAGTGATGGAAGTTTTTCTGTCTGTAAGTGATTTCCATAGCCTTTCCCAGCTGGGAACTGCGCCTCGAATATCTCAGATGGCCAGATCTTTGAAGAACCTTCTTTTGACACAAGCACCTTGCAGAAAATCACAAAAACAGATTTTTTTCTTTTCATTGACTATACATGCAAACTGAAATTGCCATAGGGTGTGGAATATGTTGGCACTGATTTAAAGGATAACACAAGGCCTCACATACAGCAACATTAAATGTATACTCATATTTTATATCCATATGGAGGCTTTAAACTCAAAAGGGCCCCTGGCACTTTCTGTACACTATACAGCAGAAACAGAGTGCAGCTACTTTAAGGACACATAGTAGGCTGCTCAAAAGCATGGGAAGGTGGATTACTTGGGGTGTTTTTTCCCAAGCATCCCTTATTCCTTTTGTCTTCCTGTAGTAGCCTTTAGGACTGCTCTTTGCCAGAGCAGCTTATTTATACAGGACCTTAAGCCTGGGCAGTATCCTGCCTGCCAAAGTCCTGTGGTTCTCCACCTTTGCATAGGTGGTCTACTGTGTTAGTCTTCGTCCAGAACAACCGTCATCCCTCTGTTGAACAGGTGAGGAAGAGAAAGAAAAGAGGAAACCACTGAAACAAGGAGCACATAGTGCGGGACTCAAAGAACAAGAGAAAACAACTGTGGGATATGACATATAGCAAAGGAGCTAGGACAAGGAGATGGATGTGGGAGGGTGGAGGATAGAAAGGGAGAGGAAAAAGCGTAACAGCAGCTGCAGTACCTAGTCTTGGAAATTAATGTTGCCTTTAGCCACTAAAATTTCCAAAATAAGTGTTATTAGGCACGCCACTACAAAGCAGTGAGAAGGCTGTGCATTTACCTCCCAAACAGCCTAATAAATTTCTGCGTTCAGATTGGACATTAATGATGAAAAAGCTTCGGCTCCAAAAATTAATAGCTACAATACATCACCAGCCTATGCCACCATAGTTCATGTGTATGCAGAGAGAAAATCCTCAAAATCACCTGTCGAGGCAGGAGATGGATTTAGCTATTATTTATTGCTTAGTATAACTCATACTTGTGGGTACGGCATGACAGTACAGATGGGAGTCGAAGTCAAATTGCTGTCAGTGCAATTTATGCCATAAGAGTTGAAGTCTGGTTATGTCTGCTTATGTTTTGCACATGATGCTTCTGTACAATAGGAAAAGGCTAAGGAAATTGTTTGAAATACATATACCTGTGCAGCCATTCATCAGGACTTAGGCAGGTTTGGTTAGAGGAAGGATGGCTGAATGTTTTGGGCAGCATCAGGAATTGAGTACAATTTTCTGTAATGCTGCAGATTGCCTGATTAGCCTTAGAGAAGATATTTAGTTAGTCTTTGCCACAGTTCCCTACGTGTAAAATAGCTCTAATAACTTACTTTCCTTGCCTGCCAGAGATTGCGTAAGGATAAATACATCCATAACTGAAAAGTGAATCTTGCAACTACTGATGGACAGTTCAAAATTTTCATTTTCAGATGGTCCTTACCAAGACTTCTGTGCTCTTGAAATTATCCTCATAAGGACAGTGTGTCTTGCAAATGACCTCAGATATGGTGTTCTTAATCAGAATCAATGATGCTTCCAGCCTGTTTCATGGATGTGCTTCAGTTCCTCTTGTTATTTCAGCTCTTCCTGAAGAAAAGATGCTAAAAGACAGCCTATATTCCTCAGGCTCCCTGAAAAGGGAAAGGCAATTGAGAGAGATCCTGGAACTCTAGAGTCCTTGTGAACACTGCAGTCAGACTCCTTCTGACTGTTCATACATGCTATCCCATCTCTATAGATCGTATCTCCACATGTCTTTATTCTCTTAATATTGGTCAACGCATACTAAAATAAAGGCCTGTTTAATGACCTGAAATACTGGCAGCAAGACCAAAGCAGAGGGGAGAGACAATTCTCAGCTTCTCAGCAGTCTTTGTAGGCTGCAAAGGTGACTGGACATGACCTTACAGGCCCAAACTGTTTGCTTCAGAAAAAAACAGAGAAGAGTGACCAAGTTTAGGAATCAGGGTAGGGCCAAATGCTTCAGGCAAACTTCTACTCACCAGTCCGTCTCATTTTATTACGCAAATTTCCTAAATAACTGCTAGAAGACACAGTGAAGGGAAATGTCAGCTCTTTCCACGGTAATAAAAGCAGGCTCGAGTTGTTATTAACTGAGTTTAAATTAATTGTTATTAATTGTGTTAAAAGAGCTGTTACTAATAAGGGTTTTGATTACTTCAGAATTGAAGACAGGTTCTCCTAAATCTTCCAAACCGTTGTTATCACAGTCTAATGATGTGGAGGGGACTCAAGCAGGAAAATATTTGCCTTTTGAGTTGGGATTAAAGGGAACCGGCCAAAGTAGCTGTACTGGCATTCACCAGTCAGCATACGGGGAGAGGGTGGCCTGGGGACCAGTCTTCACCATCCCTTCTCTGAGTGTGCCCCTTTTGCTAGGTATTGAACCCCCTCCACAAGCCCAGTATTTTCAATCTAGCTCAAGCCTGCAGAGGGGCTATAAAGGAGAAATTCCAGCTGCGACCTCCAAAAGCGAACTTCATGGAAGAATATGGCCCTTAGCAAGATATGAGCAGCTACCATGGAGGAACTCAGCATCTTCCTCCCTTGCAGGAGTCAGTGATATAGCATATCCCACTGCTGCCATCACCATGTGCTCTGCAGCATGTCACTGAGAGACTGAGCTCAGGGCCGAGGGCCTGCTGTGCCTCTCCAGTGGGCACATACGCAGTCACCTGGCCTCCATTTCCAACTAGCCTAGCTGCAAAAACAACCCAGTAAAAGTTATTTGGCACCAGGAGACCCTCTCCCCTTCCTCCCTATGTAAAACTCAGCTGGGGCAGGGCATTTTTTTTTGGCAGATGTTCTGTGGGATGGTGGTGAGAAGCTGCACTCAGCCCCTTTCGAGAATTTCACTCCTCTGTCAGCGTATTATTATCCAGCTTCCAGTCAATGTCCTGATGTGCTGAGATCAAACTGCCCCAGGCTTCTCAGGCCCATTTTGACTGTCTGTTGTTCTGACTGTCATTTTGATAGTCTCGATATTTAGGAGAGACATCCACGCCAGGCACAACAGGCTTTAAAGAGCATGGAAAGCTGCTCTTGAAAAGCATGCTAGGCACCGCTTGCAAGGATTCAGGTTTTGGGTGTATCTATTGCCAGCACCCCCTGTAGCAGTGTACCTCTACCTGGCTTCTGACGAGCAAGTGAGTGAGAACAGCTCTTATTTTCTCCCAGCACTTGAGGAGGAACTGCTGAATCTGGCTTAGTGCGCAGCCCAGTGCATCTTGAAATGTGTTACTCGCACTTACTCCTACTGATGATACTACTCCTCCTCACCTAGCTTTAGAGATCATGTCCTGCACCACTGTGCAAAGCTCAGTTTTCATTCTTCACTTCAACCCCAAGGCAGCCGGCAGAGCTTCTGCAAGGTGGTGCAGCGCCTGTCCTCGGGGCTGCTTCAAGAAGTCGCATGCCAGCGGACAGCCCGGGCAGCTGCCAAAGCCGTGTGCCCCGACCACTTGTCAGGTGGAAGAGAGGGCTTGCAAAGGCAGCAAGCTTGGTAGGAAGTCCCTGTGCAGTATCAGCCTTCCTTATCCCTTGTGTGGGCTCTATTTTCAAGCTTACTCTGTGACAAGAAAGGAATTTACTGCCACAGGGGTAAAAAGAAAAACTGTCTCTTTGTCCTAAGACAGTAAATGAGATGGACTTATTTGCTTTCTCAAAACAAGAGACAAAAGGGACATTCAGGAAATTGGAAAGGCAAAAGGTTGAAATGCCACACAGGGAAATCCCTTCCTACGCACTAACCTAAGGAACTCCTCGCCAAGGCCATGGCAGGACTGACAGTGGGAACTGATGTATCTGAGGGGACAGAGAACACTCAGTTTCATTTGACTAGGTAATCGCTTTTTCTACTGGGAGAAATAAGCGCTTCTGCTTCAAGACATCATCCAAACCTCAAGAGGAGAACTTCACTCTGGTGCAGGTTAGTCTATAACTGTCTGCTGAGGTGTTTCTTGGTTGTGTTTGCTGCTGCCCGCTATCAGATAGAGGATCCTAGGCTAGGGAGCTGCCTGTGTGGTAGATTCTAGGTACCACTAACAGAAAGGCTGTAAAATGGCATTCCCTTGACCAGCTAAAATGGGGCTATTCATGCAGAAACGACCCCAGAGATGGTGCTGTCAAACTAAGTGGCTTTTGCCATCAAAAGAGAAGAGAGAAATACAGTCTATCATATCCTGAGTAGGTTTAAGATAAAATAAATTTAATACCTTTGCTAAAAGTAGGAATCCTGGATGATGATATATAGGGAGAAAGCAGCAAAGCAATGGAGCGTGAGAACAGGTGTCCTCTAAAAGATGAGTCTGGGGAGAATTAGCTGGCAAATTTCAAGGGTATAATGAATACTTCCAAGCAAATGACTCTAGTGACACTTCAGGACAAGAAGGATAAAATATCACAGGTAAAGCAAGTGGCAGGAAGGAGACAATGATCAGAAGTTATTTATCGAAGTGTAACTTCAGACTTACTTGAAGGGGATCCAGGGAATGGCATGCAGACAGTGAGTGGTTATAAAGCCTTTAGTCTAAACCAGACTGGCTGGGGGAAATAACTGCTCTTTGATGGCACTGTAGAGACCTAGGCAAAAGCTGCTGGTGCCTGTAAAATCGTTTTGGTTGCTCAGGGATAAGCAGCCAGAGCACTGAAACCCACTGTGCCAAGACTGCAGTAACAGATCCCTTCACCACAAGCCAAGAAGGGGTAGGAACTGGTGAGTCCCCTCTTGCTCACAAGAGATTCCCGGAAGAAAGTAACAGCAGGAAGAGGAATATAGGCCCATGATTAACACACCTGTTTAGGACTTTATATATATAAAGCCCTTTCTCTGCAACAGAATTTCTGTAAGGCTCTGTGACCACTATCTCCGCTTTATTCCCCATTTTTTTAGAATTGGAATGATGGTTTCCTACATCCCAAATATGCTGTGAGATGCTTGGGAACAGATGCAGACAGTGTTGTATCTCAGCTGGACAGCACCTGAAAGGTTGCTACGTGGGAAAACGGTTGTGAAATCATGTAGAATTGGTGCTTTACCTGAGCACTAAATTCATTCTTTAGCTCTCTGCTGCAAGGCAGGGATATGAGGAATGCAGGTAATGAATATGGAGCAAGGACAGCTCCTAATATCTGCAGTTCCTGTGCACATGGGAACCACAAACGGATCTAGCTGATAGGCTCAGAGCAGTGAGCAAAACACATTGATGTGTCAGTCGTGTTTTGAGCTCACGACAAGAGGGCCAAGCACAATTTGCCTCCATTCAACAGTAAATGGGTTTGCTGCTGTGACTGGGATGAGACGGGTTTTGAAACTGATCTGTAGAAGGAGTTCTTGTTTCTGAGTAAAATGCATTTCTTTCTTTCCCATGGAGAATTTGCCTTGCAAAGTGGAGGTTTATGTTGTTACTAATAAACCATGACTGGCCAGACTACAGTACTGGTCCCCAAACTTTATTCTGGGGCTGATCCATGACCTTCAGTGGAGGTGCCCACAGGCCACATGTCACATCTCTCCCCCAACACATCACATGTGCCCCATGAATCCAGGGCTTACTGCAAAAGGTATTTGTTACAGTGGTAAAGGAGGTTGGGTTATAGCAATAGCATCCCATCTGCTCCAGCCATGGGCTACTGGGAAGATACTCCAAGCTGGTCCTTCCCTAGGGTACCTGGCCAGAGATCCTGCAATCACATCAGAGCACAGCATCTCAGTGTGCACACCCACACTCTGATCTACTGCTGCAGGAAACAGAGCTGAGGAGACGAGCCATCAGACTGTCACTGGAAAACATTTGGGGGAAGCATTGCAAAGTCTTAACCTCTAATGTCTGAATTTAGAGTCCAGTTTCAGGGACTCTGGAAAAGGGGAATAGGTGAGCCCATGGATGTTCGCATCTCAACTTTACCTGAGAAAATGACAGTGACAGCTTTACCTATTTCCTAAGTGTCTGTGTAGCTTTTTTAATCAAGACTCTCACTCCAAGGTTGGTGGAAATCACTGCAGAAGATCTCTGTTCTGCAACAGCTGCCCAAAATAATTAATTTAGATTTTTTTTTTTTTTACAGCAATGTCCACTGGTTCTGTGCCCTCAATATTTGCTTTAGGGAGCAGGACAGACAGCACCATACAGTGCTCTCCATTTTCAAAGAACATTTACTTCCACCCAGGCAGGCAGAGCTGACTGCAAGTTAGACATGTCTCTGAATATGCTCCAGCCTTTTGCCTCTCCCATGCTGTGGATTCCGAGACCAATTTGTTGCTACGTTTCATATATTCATACCTTCCAAATGACAATCTATTTAACTACCAAAAAAGTTAGGATATGCAAAGAAGCCAGAACTTGAGAAGACTGCAGACTTTTCCTGCTTACAGTAATGCACCTCAAAATTTTACTGGGAAAGTCTTTCGCCTGGAAAATAACTCCACCTGCTCCTACAGAAATGAGCCTTTCAACTTGTTTGAAGCTGAGAAAATATTTCTCTCAGAGGGTCCCCACTCTGCTCCTATGTGTCAGACTGTATAAAGTTTGAGGGAAATCCACTGCAGTCAGACATGGGACATCAGTACAAATATGCTGCCCAGTACTGTGGATTGCAAAACACAGTGGGG